TGACGAGGCTTGGCTAGGCATCATTAATTGTGTTCTGCAGTATACATTATTTAAGTAATGAGGCTGCTGCCAGTTTTTTTAATGTCTCTTCTGTTAGAAAAGATGTATAGCCTTTCCAATTATGTCAAGTCTTTGAGGCTCCTCAAATTGGCCATTTTTTAGTTTGGTGCTTTGTAGTAGGTACCTAAACCCCTATTTACAATTGGATAAATTGAGATAGACCTGTCCTAGGATTTTCCAGTGGAAGATACTTTAAGTGATGTGCTGCGTGTGCAACTTCAGCACACTGGCCTCTATTATAGAGACTGTAGCTGCCCAGCGCTACAAGTTCATCTCCCCTGTTAAGAGCTCTGACTATGGAGAAGATTTCCTTTTGTCTCAAAATTGTTGACACGATTCTGTTCCTTGTGTTATCTCTCCTACCAGTTTGTAATTCTTAAGCCTTTGAAACTTCAATAGTAATTGACTATTACTTTCTGGAAAACAGAGCAAATGGTTTGGCTAATAATGTTAGCTTCTTTCTATCCTACCTGCAGCAGTCCCAGTTTTAGAGAGCTACAGAAGTCTGATCTGGGTCTCCTTTGTAGTTTTGTCCTTTTTTTTAGCATTAATTAAGCTTTAGGTAGTGTTACTCAACCTTTAGTTATCATGAAACTTCCAAGGCTGCACAGTATATCTAGATAACAAGACTGTGCTGGGCCTTTCAGCATAACATTGTGATTTAAAATCCAGTTTGGGGGCAGAGAGGAACCCTCAGAAATTCCACGTGTTTCTAAAATGTTTCTGAAACTTTCGGAGAAGTAAGTTGCCACTCTTGGTCTAACAAGCACTGCTCCTTTACGTATATATTTTACGGAGGCTGTTATTAATTTTAAACACCACTGTAAGAAGCTGACCTTTCCCAGGACACTTCTAAGATGTTACTAGCTTCCCTTATGGAGTAAAAGAAGGAATAGCTTCTTCCCTGGCAGTTGTGGGGAAGAAGAATTTTCACTGGGGCAGAAAGTTGGGGAATCGCAAAGGAGACTGGGAAGACTTTATGTTGTTACTTGTTGGCTCTGAATTCTGAAAGTTGATGATAATGTCCTGAAAGTCTCAATGATGGACGATCCTTATAAACCAGGAAATACTCCATCACCTAGCCTTGGTGATAGCTTAAAGAGAAGGTTCAGTTACTTTCAGGCATGTAGGTATATACCTACAGTGTGTGTAGCTAAAGTAAGGTTTGTTTTGCTCTTTTGGTGAATTTTGAAAATGGGCTATTTCCTGTGAGATACAGTTATAGTTATCTCCAGCTAGTCTTCTACATTAGAAAGAATCTGATGGACTTAAACATCTGAATGTGGTATTAGAGAGTTTCTAGGTCAGAGGTGAGGCATTGAAAGGCAGCCCTAGCATTTTGTCTGAGAAGGGCAAGGGAGGGAAAAATCACTTGTTTCTTTCCCACCAACTGACTCGAGGCTGCCTGTAAAGATAGGATGATAGAGTAATTCAGGTTGGAAAGGTCGTTTGGTTCAGCTGTCTGCTCAAAGGAGGACTAATGTGGATCAGCGTGGTTCAGGGCCTTGTCTGGTCAAGTTTTGCGTATCTCCAAGGATGGAGTCCGCAGTTTCCTGGGCACCTCCTCCAGTGTTTGAATATCCTCACTGTGAACCTTTTTTTTTCCTTAATATGTAAGCAGTTTCCAGTTGTGAGGTAGAAGCTGAACAAAATGATTTAAAAGAATGTGCAATGTGATTAATATTCAAATTTGCTGACCTGTGTGTGTGTGTGTGTGTGCGCGTGTTGGGGAGGGGGAAGAAGAGGGGATGAAAGAACCCAGAGATCATTCTTCTTGACCGCAGGAGCAGCTGCTGCTTCTGCTGAAAAGTCAGTACAGTTGCTGATATTCAAAATCTGCAGTGTGCATCACATCTGATTGTCTCATTGCAGCAACATGTACATTGTGTTACCTGTGTCACAGTAACTCAGTGGAGGACAGCCATACTTGAAAGTGTCGTTTTAGCATCATAAGGCTTGAGGAGTGTGTATGTGTATACACACACACACGAAATTCATATAAAATCTTCATTTTAAAAAATCTTTATTTTTTGTATTAAATCTTTATATTTTTATATTAAATACTTAA